ATTGATATAGGGCAATGATACGAAAGTCCTTCATCGGAATCTATGACTCATTGGCCATAGATTAATCACCGTAAAAAAAGGCAGCACATTCACGACTGTTGTTGGTAGCCATTTTACAAATAAGAAATTCTGGACTTTATGATTACAGATATAAATTCTTGCGAAAAGTACTGTCATATCTTATGTTTAGTATGGACTTATGCTGAAAATTAATGAAAAACAGACAGTAGGGAATTTCATCACCATCTTGAACAGGGCATGTGTGCTGCAATGAAAAGTCCAAATTTCCCTGCATATATTATACATAGACCAGAAAAAAATAACCGAAATCTTTGTACTAGAATGAAGTTGAAAATTAACAGGGTAATCTAGACATCTGACAAAGGAAAATACAGATAGAGAAACCGTCAGAAATAGACTTGAGATACGACTACCGGCTTAGTCATTGCAAACACCTTATCAAAATGCAAGGCCGTTACACATAAACAGATAAATAGCTAAACAATCCAGTGGTTTAAGATGAGCCCCTGGCCAGATAATAGTTAAACTTATACAGAATAATCGTAAAGCAAAGGAGAAAATTAAGAAAATGCACCCTGCCAGCGAGTACTTACTGACACGAACCAATAGATTTTGTCATCGTTTTTACACCTTGACTCGTACCAGGAAGTAACATATTGATTTTTTATCTTACAAGAAGGTTAGATATGCAGATTTAATAAAATACTAGGTACAGAAGACACATCGATACAAGATAACACAGAATAAAGAGAGTAATATCAGCAGAAGGAAATCAAGAACTGACGAGGAACGGAATGTGATCTGGCATTCATTCTACTTAATGAATAAGCGATTCGAGGAACCTGGCAAACCTGAGCCAAAGAGAGCGCAAGGAATACACGGAACGCCTTGGCTTCTATGCCACTATCTCATCGTGATTAGCTAAGCAGAGAGTTTTAATCTGATAACAGAAATGTGAAGGACTTTACCTCTTGCGAGATCATATTTTGTTTTTACCTATCAACCTGCAATGTTTTTTGTTTTTTTTTCTCCCATTCCTATGTGTACTGACACATACCCGTAAACACACACACACACACACACACACACACACACACACACACACACACACACACACACACACACACACACACACACACACACACACACACACACTAAACCTATTACCTGGTTTTCGAACAGCTGACTGGCCGGTTCGAGCCAACATGTCTTCAACGGCCAAGGGCTCAAGCAAGCTCTCCTCCTGTCCAAGAAAGTCCAGAGTCTGCAGAACGTCTCTTCCTACTCCTCCATGTCCGTAGACGCCGGCAGAGGACGCGAGGAGGAAGGGCAGAGTTAAAAGGGCCGAACGGAACACATGGACCATGGTGTTGCAAGAGCTGTCACAGGTCGGTCTGAAGTATGGCAGGTGAGAGGATACCGTCATGTATAATCAATCCTCTTACGGGACGACTAAAAATGAGATAGGTCATACTGTGATAAAATCTGATAAACGCGTAGTAGTATTTTCAATGTTTTATCCAAATTCTAAAAAAAAAATAGGCATCCCATATACTTCTTCGTCTTGTACTTTTACTTAGATGAACAATGAAGCTAGAAGAAATGATGAAACACGATACTTATAAAAAAAAAACAATGGTATTATTAGAATGTCTGTATAAGATGTTCTAACTGGCATTGCAAGGTAATGTACAAGGGAAGAGATAAATTTGGAAAATCGAAGTGAATTTATTGTTTTATTCTTATCAATCTTAACAGTAAATAAACATTACACGCAAAGACCATCTTACAACATTTGATTTTGCTTGTAGCCACATGATTTTTAGAAATTTTCTGCTCCGTCGACTTTGTAGATATAACAAATTGACTTTTTCTGAGTCCGCATCACTGATTAGCGATCTAATCTCGGGAGTCCTGTGATCGGTATCTATGTTATCATTTTCATGTGACTGGTATATATAAAAAGGAGATCATTATCCGTAACAGAACTAAAAAAAATTATGCTCGACGCTAAACAATGATACTGGATTCGGCGTTTTTGTCAAATTGTGTTTATTCGCCGAAAGAGATTTTCTTCTTTTCTTCCCTCCATCCTAAACTGCTCCGCCACTACAGCCAAAAAGACAAAAAAGGACGAAAGGCGGAAATGTAACAAGAACGACACTTTAGCTGAAGTAAGTGGAATATATATAGATATGTATATATATATGTATGTATGTATATATGGTAGAAAAACCTACAATGTAAAAACTAGATTTATTGAATGAACATCTAGTTTTTACATTGTGGGTTTTTCTACCATAGTATCATCACGGTAGAGTGTTTTCCTCATTCATATATATATATATATATATATATATATATATATATATATATATATATATATATATATATATATATGTATAAATATATACACATTTATATATATATACATATATATATATATATATATATATATATATATATATATATATATATA